GCTTCTGGTACGATACTTGGACATTTCCAATCTGGCAACACTGTGCAGAACAAAACACTGCACACTTCCTGAAAACATCATTCAGTCTGAGCACAGTTCCAGAGTCAGAGCAAAGAGAATAAGTTAAGTCTACTGGGAGAAGACTGCTCATTTAGGTGAGTTGTTACCCTTGAAGGTAAAGTATATTACTTATATCTTCAAAATTGAATGTATCCACTGATTAAGTCACTGAATAATTATCAAGATAAGTCTTTCAAAGGGATAAGATTACACTCCCAAACCAGTCAAACAAGTCCCTTATCTTTTAGGTCTTTGAAAACAAAACATAGCATAAGAGCTGTGACATCTCGCAGTCGTGTCACCTTTATCTGTTTTTCGTTGTAGTTTATCATTAGAAACAGACTTTTGCAACTGAAGAAAAAAAAATGCCTCCACCTCTTGTAAACAAGAAACCCAGGAATGAATCCACCGTAAAAGACAAAACAGGCACTCTCGACGACCCTTTGAAATTCTTGGATCAGGACTACCAGGAGCTGCGGAAGAGCTGTATCACCAATAAAAAGAGATTTGTTGATGACAAGTTCCTTCCAGACAGCAGCTCCATTGACCCAAAGAAGAAACTTGAACTGGATCTGGACCAAATCAAGTGGTTGAGGCCATCAGTAAGTTACCTGTATTGACTTTCCATCTTCAGACCTTCAGTAACTTGTTTGAAAGAATCATTGTCAAAGTATGGCCAAATGTCTCTGTAGGCTTGTCAGAACAGGTTCACCTGTCACATTTCCCAGCATTTCTGATTTACAATAGTGGAAAGATATCTCAAGTGTCTTGAAAGCAGACCCAACGTGTATTATATGAATCTAAATGTTTTTTTCTGGTATTCCTAAATCACTTGGCCAAATTTCATTGTATTTTCACTGTTTAGAAAATAGTAGCAGACCCTCAGCTTATTGTACAGGGGGTGTCCAGGTTTGACTATTCCCAAGGATCTTATTTAGGTATGTTTATTTATGTATTTCTATACATACTCCAGTAGGCATGTTATCTACCCTGTAAATGTCACTGCATATACCTTGAAATATCTATTTCTTTAATATTTGTGCCTTTACCTTAGGCAACTGCTGGTTTCTTGCTTCAGTTGGGGCTTTAACATTTAAGAAGGACGTCATGGACCAGGTCATGCCAGCTGACCAGTCATTTGGCAAAGATTATGCAGGGATATTTCACTTCAGGGTGAGTTCTTTGGTCTTTTACAGTATAACTGAATACGATTTAAAATTACATCAGTCCTTTAAGCCCAATGTTGTGCTTAATTTGTATAGTTCTGGCGGTTTGGGAAATGGACTGAAGTTGTCATTGATGACAAACTTCCAACAATCAATGGCGAACTCGTTTTTGTCCTTTCAAAAACATCTAATGAGTTTTGGCCTGCCTTACTGGAGAAAGCTTATGCCAAGTAGGTGCCAGTATGTTGTGGTAAAATAATTTTTC